CACCACCTTCCTGCCTGCCTTCCTTCCTTCCAGCTGTTTCCATCTCTGTTTCTTTTTCTCACTTTTTCTGTTTTCCTACCTCTATCTCAGACTTTCTCTGTCTCCATCTTGGAGTGTTTGCTGTTTTTTCTCTGTCCATCTTTCTCTACTTCTACCTCTCTGGGTCCCTGTCTCTTTTATCTCTTTGCTTCTCTGTCCTGTCATTCTTCCAGTTTCATTCTCTTAGTCCCTGTCTTTCTATTTCTTTATCTTGCTTCAAGCCCATGGACCTATTTTCATGCTTGGGCCCAGTTGTGCTGTGTTCTCTGTCCTGTTGTCTAGTTATGTTTGTCTTGAATGTTACCTCCAAGGCCAGGGGCCAGGGGCCACCGTTAGACATGGGAGTAATTTCTCTCAAACAAAGGAAATCTTTCCTAGAATCCTCTCCTGGCCTCTCTACCCTTTTCTAGCCTGGGAAAGGATTGAGGAAGGTGACAGGGCCAGGCCCTAGAGAGGTCATTTTGTGCATCTTCTTGGCCCTGGGTGCAGGCCTTTCTTCAGTCAGTTCCTTGTCACTGAATAATGGGTAAGAAGAGTCCATGGTGGCTCCCTCCTTCTCTCCCCCTCCCTTACCTTCATCCCTGCCACAGGCTGTGTGTCTTTCATGTGTCTTAACCATATATAGTATGTGGGGTTGCTTTGGCTTTAGTATTGCTGAATAAACATGGACCTTCTCTCCCTCCAAGGCAGCTGCAATCCCTCCCTAAGGAGGCTGGTCAGAGTGGCTATGAGGTGAGAACCCAGCTACCTGAAGCAGGCAGGGGACTCCTTCTTCTCCACTAAGTATGAGCAGGCTTTCTGGAGAAGGAGATGCTTCCAGATTGGAGTCAGGAAGAGAGCAGGATGGAGTTCCATCCTGAAGAAAAAACTTTTGTAATTTTGACCTGTTTGTCCTGAGATCGAGAGGCATGATGAGGCCTTTGTGTTCCATATGAAAGATTTGGAAACGATGCCTTCCTTTAACCTGTGTGACTTAACTTAATCATTGAACCACAACCAAAAAAAAAATCTGAGAGAATTTATTAAGCACCTACTTTGTGCAGGACACAGTGCTAGGACTAGAGGAGATATGAAGTTCAGATAAGACACAGTGCCTTCCTTCACAGAGTTTATAGTCTGGTGGCCTGGCAGGACTAGGAGGAAAAGATAAACACGGATAACAATAGTGTCCATTACATGATATGTGAGGTCTGATGGGTGATTGTTCTGTGATAAGGAAAACAGAAAAGACTTTTTGGAGGAATAGGCACCTGAGATGGGCTTTAAAGAATGGGTAAGAATTTACCAGGAGAAATGCTTCTTGGCATAAAGATTGGGTGGAACGGACACACAGAGTCTCAAAGTCAAAGAGTATGTTAGGAATAGGGTCAGAGGATAAATAAGATAAAGGAGAGGCAGTATGTTGTAATGGCTTTGAAGGGATGTGGGTTCAAATGTTGGCTCTGTTATCTAAATCCTGTGTCACCCTGTATCACCTTAACTTCCCTGGGCCTCAGTTTCCTCATCTCTAAAATGAGAATGTTGGGCTAGATGGTCCTCGGTCTCTTAATTCTAAATCTATGATATGATTTGAAACCACAGCATCTATAAATCTCAGTTTTTTCATCTATAAAATGAGGGGGTTATAAGCATCTTTCTGCTCATAAACTATAGTCCTATGATCCTAAATCCCAATGTGCCATGAAAAGTGAAATTTTTTGGTATTAAAAAAAAAGGCACCTTAATTGTGACTCTCTGAATATTATACATTAGCTAGAGGTATATCTTGCCTACTCCTGGTCCCAGCTCTGTTTCTTTGCTTGGGAAGGCAGATGACACAGAAAGTGAGGCAAAGCAAGAATTCAGGAGTAGAAAGAATGGCAGAAAGATAGATGATGAAGCATATCAGGATATTGGCAGAGAGAGACAAAAAGGTGGGAAGGGAGATGGAGAGAGTTTTTTTTTAAAGGCAATTGGGCTTAAGTGACTTGCCCAGGTTCACACAGCTAGTAAGTGTCTGAGGCCAGATTTGAACTTACGTCCTGATTCTAGGGCTGGTGCTTTATCCATGGGAGGGAGATTTCTAGGGAGCAGGAGGTCAGGAAAAGAGATTAGGAGAGAGGAAAAATCAGAAATGCAAGGGAGAAGCTGGGATTTTCCAAGTATGTCCCTAGCCCTTTGTCCAGGTCAGACAGAATATAGTTATAATGACACACAGAGGTAAACACATGCACATGTCAAAAACGCATACTTTCAGAAACACACTTAGGCCCCCATCCCTTTTTACTCATCAAAGGAAGTAAAACTCCCTGCCTCTCTGTGTCAGTGGTCTCCCATCTTCAAACTGCTTCTCTGGGCAGAATGATTGCAGCCCCAGGCAAGGGACAGTGGGAGCCAAGAGACATTAGACACACTTTCACCATCTGTCAAAGCTCTTGCCTCCTGTGAACAAGCCTAAAATGCTGGCAGCCAATAGCTTCATTGTAGTCTTTTAGGAAGGGGACAACTTTTCTGCTCTCTCTCTCTCTCTCTCTCTCTCTCTCTCTCTCTCTCTCTCTCTCTCTCTCTCTCTCTCTCTCTCTCTCTCCCCTCCTCCACCCTTCACCTTCCTTCCTCTACCTCCCTCCTTTTCTCTGTCTCTATCTCTCTGCCTCTGCCTCTGTCACTCACACACACACAGACACACAGACACACACACTCACATGCGCACCATTCCCCACCTCCAAAGGCTTTTCAGAATCTTCTTCCTCTAGGAAGCCTCTCCAGACTGACCCCTGTGCTTGTTCCTTGACCCTGAGCAGCATAACACCATTGGCTTTTATTGCTATGTCTATTGTGCTGGTCCCTCCATGTGTCCTGTTTCTTTTCTGAGGAACATGGTCCTGGCACCTAGGGGTCCTGTATCACTTCCCAGCTTAGCCTGCCTATAGTCTCTTCTTCCTGGCCTCCTTTCTCCCTCTGCCTCTGGAGAGGGGAATAGGGCCTACCCCTGGGCAGCATCAACTCTGCTTGGCTGTGCTGGGGACCAGGCAGTCACAGGGACAGCTGTGCTGTCCCTCTCTCCATCTGTCTCTGTGGCCATTTGTCTGCCAGTCAGGCTGAAATTTGGAAAGATGGCTTAAGAAAAAGAGAGAGACAGACAGACAGACAGAGGGAGACAGACACAGAGAGACAGAGACAGTCAAATTGTGGTATGCTGAGCTCCAGGGGTGGTGAGGGTGGAGATAGGTTGAGAATTTACCCAGATCTTTGACCCTGACCTAGAACCCTAGAATCATGATATCCTAATAATTGAGGGTGTATGTAGGTGTATCTGTGACAGAGACTGTTTGGATCTGTTAGCATTAGCATGCATGCATATGTGAGGGTTCCAATCACAATTTTATTTCCAGTATTTCATACTAACAGATGCTCTTCCCATCTGTAGCCATCATGGCTCATTTCCACCTTACCTGTATCCATCCCCTGGTCAGAAGTGGGCACCCTCAGTCTTGGGAAGGGCCAGAGAAGGAGGTAACATGATCCAATGGAAAGACCACTGTTACTGGAATTGCAGAATTGGGATTCAAATCTTTTCACTGCTGCTTATAGCCTTTGTAACCATAGGCAAGGCACAACTTCTTTGGGTTTCCTCATCTTTAAAATGAGGGGGTTGGACCAGATGATCTCTCAGTTCCCTTTCAACTTTAATTCTATGAACTAAGCCACTCTCCTTCTGGGGCCTGGGAAGGCTATGTGTTGGGGTCAGGCCCTGGGAGAAGAAATAGGTTCTCAGTTCTTTGCTTCTGGGTGTGCCTTGTCTGGGTGGCCAAGCCCAGCCCTGCTTAGTAGAGAATCTTCTTCCCTTATCATAGAGTGGGTGGGGTATGGGCTTGGAAAATTCCTGGAAAAATACTTCCTCAATGGTTAGCCTGTGGATTGAGTAGGAGGGGTCTGTGGACCTGGCCAGAAGCAGAAAGGACAGATCTGGGTTCAGGTTCTGTGTTCACTGAGAACCTGTGGGTCCAAGGACAAGTGGAATAGGGTGGTGCTAATTAGAGGAAGGCTCTGGAAGGAAGATTTGACAGAAAGAGGCCCAGGAATTATTTCTAAGAACAGGAGAAAACTGAGGACTCAGTCTCTCTCTTTCTCTCCTCTCCTCTCTTCTCTTTCTTTCTCCTCCTCCCTCTCTCTCTCCTCTTTGTCTCTCTGTCTCCTTCCCTCTCCCTCCCCTCCTCTTCACTCTTTCCTCTGTCTTCCCTTCCCTTCCCTCCCTTCCCCTCCCCCAGTCAATCAAATATTTCTTTAATGCCTACTATGAGCCAGGCACTGTGATAGACTGTGGAGATATAAAAGAAATAGTGATAAGGACCAAACCTGCAATTTCATTAGTATGAACACAGTTCCTCTTGTCTTCCCTTCCCTTCCCTCCCTTCCCCTCCCCCAGTCAATCAAATATTTCTTTAATGCCTACTATGAGCCAGGCACTGTGATAGACTGTGGAGATATAAAAGAAATAGTGATAAGGACCAAACCTGCAATTTCATTAGTATGAACACAGTTCCTCTCCCAATGCAGGTTGGCACCTTCTTTTCAAGTTAGTCTTAGAAAGTTGACTAATGCATTGAGAGGTTAAATGACCTGCCCAGGATCACACAGTCTGTATTTGTCATAGGTGGGACTTGAACACAGGTCTTCCTCGCTTCGGTAGGCAGCTAGGTTGCCTAGTGGATAGAGTGCTGGCCTTGGACTCAGGAAGACCTAAGTTCGAATGCAGCCTCAGACACTTAGTAGGTTCATGCTCCTGGGCAAGTCACTTAACCTGTTTCCTCATTTGTAAAATGGGGATAATAATAGCACTTACTTTTCAGGGTTCTTGTGAGGATCAACTGAGAAAACATAAGTAAAGTGCTTTGCAAACCTTAAAGTCCTATATAAATGCTAGGTATTATTATTATTAATTATTATTGGCTCAGAGGTTAGCTCTCTATTAACTAAGCCGCTGCCACAAAGACAAACTGAAAACAATCTGTGACTTCAAGAAGCTGACAGTATGTCTGACAACATGTAGAGGTGTTCAAAATATGTTCAACCAAGTAACTTGGAGGTGGTGGGAGAAAGTTATAAGTGGGGGACCCAGGAAAGGCTTATTCAGAAGGTGACACTCGGACCGAGTCTTGGAGACCAGGATTCACAGAGGCCAAGGTGAGAGGGGGAGCCTCTCAGCCATGTGAGAGCAGGCAGCTTGGTCAAGGAGGCTGGACCACGGATAACAAAGCTGAAAAGGTAGGATGAAGCCAGCTTGTGAAGAGCTGTGAATGCCAAACAAAAGAGTTTATATTTAGCCAGAGTCTTGTTTCTAAAGAAGAGAGGAATCGAAAGGCTTTCTGGAGGTGAAGCTTGGTATAGGATTGGGGGTTGTTTCCGAGTTGGAGAAGTTCCCTCATGGTCAGTGGCCAGGGTAGAGCCCAGAGAGATGGGGGCACGGGCTAGCAATGCCTTGTGGGACCCTCGGGCTGTCATCTTGCTCGTCTCCTCTTTACTTTTTCTCTGCCCTGCCTCCCAACCCCCATCCCCTTTGACCTCTGGAAAAATATGCCAGCTTTATTTGTTTATTTATTTATTTGCAAGATTAGGCCAAATGAAACTTTTCCCCCTGACCCACCGCAAATGGCATGATTATTGACTCCTGCCCAGCCAATAGTGACCTTCTTCCATGCTGCCGTCCTGGGTGGAGCAGTGTGGCTCCTGTGGACCTCCTAGAATGTAGTGTAACATGAAGTTTCAGGCCTCAGTTTCTCTGAGATTTCCACCATGCAGCTCTTCTATTTTTAGCTTCCCGAGTTCAGAAATAGCAGCAAGGGCAGGTGAGTTCAGCCGGGAGGTGGACTTAAAGGAGGGGAGAGGGAATTGACTGTTTAGTTCCAGTTCCCCTGTGACTTCTGTCTGGTGTGGCTGGAAGAGCCTTGAGAGGCCATTGAGCCCATCCTCCTGCCTTCTGGCAGGACTGTACTCTGAGCATCCCATGGGAAGGAAAGCACAAGGCGAGGAGTAGGGCCCCACAGAAAGTGCCCCTTTCTCCTCCTTCCTTCTCTCCCTCCTATTAGACCTGGCTCAGGGCTAGAGCAGCCACCAATATTCCCTCTGCTCCCTCCTGAGGAGGGAGGGGGCAGTCTGGGCTCCTGGAATATGACAGCTTCAGCCTGAGCCTGAGATGGATTGCACGGGGGAGGGAGCCAGGGCATTGCATCATTCCCCTCTTTTTCATGGGGCAGAGAGGGGGGGTGGGGTGGACAGTGACTTGGTGGTGGTGGTGGTGGTGGTGTGCATTGAGGTTACATTGGAAGCAATAGGGACCTCTCCCCTCCATGTTCCCCTGCCCCATCTCTTACTACTGTATATTCTGGACAAGGAAGGGGATTTGATTCCCTTTTGGGCATGGGCAGGTGAGAACAGTTGTGGTCCTCACTGTACCAGCTGTCCTTGCAGTGTAGTCCTGTATGACTATTTATATGGAAGGGGTTCGTGTGTTCATTTGGAATTGTACATATGTCTTTGTATGTAGTTTTCTTCATGTGCATACAGTAGTGCCCTCTATGCTATGACCAGAATGGAGGAACAAAAGGGGGTGGGAAGAGTGATGCCTTCAGAGGGTGTTGTCATTGCTGTTCAGTCATTTCAGTGACCCCATTTGGAGTTTTCTTGGCAAAAATACTGGAGTGGTTTGCCATTTTGTTCTCCAGCTCATTTTACAGATGAGGAAACTGAGGCAAACAGGATTAAGTGACTTGCCCAGGGTCACACATCTAGAAAATGTCTGAGGCTGGATTTGAATTCAGGTCTTCCTGACTCCAGGCCCTAGGGCAGCCAAAATATTTTGAGGGTGTTTCTGGAGCACCAGAAGATGAGTCTTCCTGGATCTATGCCTGGTACTTTATCCACTGCATCACCTAGCTGTCCTAGGTCTTGGAACCAGGAAGACCTGAGTTCAAATGTGATTTCAGACATTTACTAGCTATGTGACCCTGGACAAGTCATTTAACCCTGTTTGCCTCAGTTTCCTCATCTGTAAAACAAGCTGGAGAATGAAATGGCAAATCACTCCAATATCCTTGCCAAGAAAACCCCAAAGTGGAGTCACAAGAGTCAGACATGACTGAAACAACTGAGCCACAACAACAGAAAGTGTGCAGACCCCAAATCTTGATTTGTGTCCAGTCTGGTTTGGAGGTAGGTGGTGTCCTTACATCATTGATAGAAATCTGAGTGTGGGACCTGGGTCTGGTGAAGGGAGAAGGAGCTGCACTGCCCCCCCCCCCCCAGGGCATAACAACAGGGTTTCTGTGTTTCTTTTTCTGCTAACCTACAGACTCTTCCCCAGCATGTCTACTCCCAATTCTCTACTCTTGGGAATTATCCACATTCCCTGGGAATTGCAACCTTTCCCCATCTATGACCTTCCTTGGCACCCACTGCCTTCCTGAAGCCTAGACTCCAGACAAAAAAGAATTGGGGGAGGGGGAAGGAAGTGCTCCAGAAACACCCCCAGAAATATCCTAGGGCCAGGGAAAAACCATGAGCTCACAGGATTTAGAACTGGAAGGGACCCTATGTAGGGATCACAGAGGAGAAAACCAAAGGCTAGAGATGGAGTGTGACTGGCCCTGGATCAGGAAGGCCTGAGATCAGAACTCTGATCATCTCACTCGTAACTGGGGATTCTTTGCACTCCACCAGATTGCTTGTTAGAGATGAGGGAGACTCTTGCCCTCAGCTGCTTTCTGGACTCAGCCTTGGGGAACACCTTTTCTTTTAGCACTTGGCAGTGGCTGTCTAATAGCCACGCAGTTTGGATTAAGCACTAGTTGGAATTCTTCCCCATAATACCAAGCCTGTTTTTCCAGCCTATTATAGATTACTCCCTTTCTCAAGCTCTGGTCCAGCCTCATTGCCTTTCTTGCTGTTCCTCACACAGGCCATCTCTGTGCCCGATGCTAAGGTGCTGATCCATGTTCAGTAGCTGGGAGAGGACAGCCCTCCCCAGTCCTTAGCCTTCCTATCCTTCAGTCAAGCAGTAAGGAAGAGAGACAGCCTGACAGAGCAGCAGAAAGACCATTTCCTGGCCTGGGAAATCCCTTTCTGTAAAATGTGGGGGTTGGACCAGATAATATATGCCTTCATTGGCCCTCCTACTTCGATTCCCTTTCCCGATGTTTTCAGAAGGGATGGGGAGATTTGGAGTGAGCATGTATGGAGCAGGTATGAGAGTGAGGACTGGCCTGAAATATCTGTGGAGCTATCGCCCCGTGCCCCGGGGGTGGAGAAAGGGGGATGTCTGAGGTGAATAAGGGGTGAGTAGAGGCCAAACTTTGGTCTCCTTCCACCTGCCTCATCTCCCCTGTCCTGAGAGTCTGAGGAATGAACCAGAGGACCTACCCAGCCTATGAAGCAAGTGACTTGCTTTTTGCCTTCCTTCTTTCCTGTCTTCATCTCCATCTCTTTTTCTGTATTTGGTCTTTCCTCTGTCTTTCCTTCCCACTTTGACTCTCCCTGTATATCTCCTTTTGGAATTTGTTTCATTTTCTTTCTCAGATTCCCTGTCTCCTCAGTATCTCTTTGGCTTTTTTATCTCTCCTTTTTATCTCTCCTTTCACTCTGTGTGTCTGCCTCTCTCCTTCTTAGTCTCCATCTCTTTCTGTTTATTTGGCTTTTTTTTTATATCTTTACTTATTTATCTTAGTAGTCGGACTCTGTCTCTCTTTTCCTCTTCAGTATCTTTATCTTAGCCTCCCTGTGGTTCTCTCTGTCTCTTTGTCTCTCTGTCTCTGTCTCTCTGTCTGTCTTTGTTTCTGTCTCTCTATCTGTCTGTCTCTCTCACCTAGCCTTTTAGGCTGGTGATCCTCTGACCTATCAAAAATTAATGATCTTCCTCTGCACTCCCTCTTCCTTCCATTTTCCCAAGACTGGTAGTTCTCTTGGCTGTCTGACCCCTATTCCTTATGCTGCAGCATCACTTCTGGTGCTTAGGCCTCTTAGACAGAGCTATATTGGGACTGGATGACTAGGGAGGTTATTACAGGTCCTCTGTGCCAGGATCTCAAAGCACTTGGTCAGTCTCAGTGTGAACCCCTCAGCTTCCTAACCTGCTGCCCTGAAGGGGCAAGAGTGTGTGTGTGTGTGTGTGTGTGTGTGTTGGGGGGCAGCATGCAGAGGACTTCACCAGCCTCTTTGCCTGTCTAGAAAAGCCTGAATTTGGGAAGGTATGGTGAGATTGGGGTAGACAGAGATCCTGTGTTGGCCACCTAGTCCCAGACTTGGCAGAAGGCCTTTGTTTTTGGAGGGGGGGAATTGTAGCTTCTGAAATGAATTGGGGTGAGGGGAGGGGGAGGAGGGAGACACAGTGTTTCTGTGTCTCTGTCTCTGCCTGTGCCTGTGGTTCCCCAACCCCCTACCCCCAAGCTGTTGGGGGGGGTACTGTTATAGTAACTCATCAGGGTGATGGAGGCGACTTTGATGGAAGCGCCACTCCTCCCCAAAGCCCCCCTTAACTTCTTGTGTGTGCGTGCGTGAATGCGTGCCAGGGCTACACTAATGGATGGTCTGACTGATCCTGATGGAGGGAGGGAGGGTGAGGGAGGGGATACTTCTCCCCTCCCCGAGGTTTTTAATGGGGCTGTCAGAAAGAGACAAATACATGGAGAGAGGGAGAGCAAGAGGAGGAATGGGGGGATGGGAAGAGAGAGACAGAGAGAGAGAGATGAAGTGAGAGACAGATACATAGAGAAGGAGAAGAAGCTGGATGGGCAGGGGAGGGGCAGGGGAGGCTTTCATGTCCAGACAGGGTTTCTTTCCATACTTCCTCTATCCATCCCTCCCAATGAAGATCAGCTCAGTTCCTGTAGATCTACCCGGAGGGCATCGTAGCCGCATTCCCCCCTCCCCATCCAGTGACCCCCACAGAGAATTTCAGACAGTGACGCTGTCCCCCTCAGCCTTCTCCTCCTCAGGCCCTACCACCCCAGCTCTGTGGCTACCCCCTCCCACCCTTTTGGGCTGTATGCCAGGCTGGGGAACATGCCAAGTGGCTGGCACTGGGACAGATCATCTCTCTGGCAATGGGAATGGCAGTGGAGGGGGGGTGGGATGAAGGGGGAAGGGCCCAAGACTAAGTTCCCCCTCCCAGAGACCACCCCATCAATCCCTTTGACCTTGTTGGGGTCTTGATACCTCTTCATGGGCAGAACCTGGCTGGCCTGTGCAGGGTTGGGGGGAGTTGGGAGTGAAGAGGATGGAGCATACGTATCTCTGTCTCCCTCCTCTGCCAATCTCAGTATCCTTCTCAGTCCTTCTCTTCCTCTGGATGGGCCTTTCTCTGTTGATGAGTGTATTTCTTAAGGGAGAATGGGAAATCAGCTCATTCAGATTATTCTCTTCTCTCTCCTCACCATGAATAATGAGGAGGTGGCCTTCATATCACAGGCAAGGGTAGAACATTCTAACTCTGTCTGTGAGACCACCCTTTCCTCCCTTGGCAAAAAGCCAAGCTGGTATGAAAACTTGAATAAATAGGACTGGGCCATTGGGGGTGGGGAGGGGAGGTGCCATAGTCTTTCCAGACTTCATATCCTGAGCCCTTGATCACAGAGCATGTCTCCCTCTCCAAGTAGTTGCCAATGCATACCCATTTGGGGTGGGGCATGGTTTTACTTGTAGCCTCTTAGTCTGTGCCCTTGCTCCCAGGAAAGTTGGATTTTTGGCTTTGAGTTTCAATCCTATCTCCCCTCCTTCCTTTGGGCTCTATTTCTTGGACTGTGAAATGGGTGAGCAACTCACAGTATTGGGATTTTCCAAGTACCACATGCCCATATTGCTATCTCCTTCCCCCCCTTAACTCCTCTCCTCCTGGACTCTTAGCTGGGATTAATCCTGTCACCCTTCTCCATCCCTGAAGTTTTCCTTCCTCTCAGTCAACTCATGACCCTGGATTTATTCCGTTGATCTGGGTCCCATCAGTACTAAGGCAGGGGTGGGGGAAAAAGCATTTTCCTGAAGTACCTACTATGTATCAGGTAGTAGTAAAGTGCTAGGTGCTTTACCAATCTTATCTCATTTGATCCTCACAACAACCCTGTGAGGTAGCTGTTATTACTATCCCCATTTTACAGTTGAGGAGGCAGGCAGAGAAATGAAGTGACTTACCCAGGGATGCACAGCTGTTCAGTGTCTGAGGCTGGATTTGAACTCAGGTCTTTTTACCTCCGGGCCTAGTGCTCTATCCATCTAGCTTTTTGAAGAACTCAGCTGAGACCAGAGTAATTTGGGCTTGTTTTCATGGGTATGACCTTTTCTAAGTTGCTTCAGACTTCAGTCTTACCCACAAAGGTAAGGATGTTTCCCTTCAGAATGGAGACTCTCTCAGACTGAGGAAGGAAAGGTCTTCTGGAATTTGGAGAGGTATAGACACGCTAGCAGATAAAGTTGGAGACAGGCGAAAGCTGTCATGACCTGGTCTCAAATATCCCTAGAAAGCAAGACAGGTGACTGATATTTTCTGACATGTTTTGGTGTCAGAGTTAAGTTGCTGTTCTTGCCTCCTTGCACCAAGCTCAGTCAACGAGGACCCTCCCCCTCCTCCTTCCCCTCCAGCTCCCCATTCAGTGCCATTAGCATGCAGACCCCACCTCAGCCCTATCATTCCTGGAACAGATGGCTTTGCTTGGCTGAGTGCCCTAGACTTGGGAGATGGCTCTGGGCTTGGGAGATGGTTGGGAGGGGGAGGTGATCTGTGCCCCCCCCCATCCAACTACAGTGGGGGAGGGACCAAAGGGGTGGAAGCATCACCAGATGGCCCTGGCCACAGAAACTCAGCTAGAGAAGACTCCCAGTTAGCCAGATTCGTGGGGAAGTATAGTGGTATGGATAATAAAAAAAAGTGGAATAATCCATTCAGGGCCTATATCTTTTAAATAATATGTGCACCTTTACTGAGACTGAGACTGAAATAAGGAGATGGCTGTGGAGACATAGATTGATGACTGAAAGTAAATGGAGATTCCCAAGGGGAACACTTAGAACAGAAGAGTAGCTGGGGGCCAAGGAACAGCAGAATCAGGAGGAGCAGTTGAAGGTATTGGAGAGAAATGGCAAGGCCTCGGGAACAACTTATGTTGGGGTAGCTGAGGCCAGAGGAGCATCTGATCCTGTGTTGCTTCCCTTGGGAGTTGGGATAATGGATTGGATTGGGAGAGAGTGGAGAAAGGAGAGGGCAGAGAAGCCTCTAAATGAAACTTTTCCGGAAGATCCTTCAAGGACAGAACTTGAGCCTGGAGAATGGCCAGGAGGGGAAAGATGGGGAGAAACACAGAACTAGGAGAGAAATGCAGAGGGAGCATGGTGACCTGGAGAGGTCACAAAACTGAGAGTTAGGATATCTTGGGGTTCTAGTTCCGGTTGTCAGGAACTAACTACATGACCTTGGGGAAGTAATTTCCCCTCCTCTAGTCCTGAGGCACCTCATCTATAAAATGATGAGGTTGAAGAAGACTATCTCCAGGGTCTCTAGGCCTTAGCCCATTTCTAAAGGCCCTTCCACTCTGACTCTAGTTTTTACTTCCACTTCTATGATTGCGGTGGGACTGGGAGAGAGGTAGGGACAGAGACAGAGAGACACAGAGAGAGAGACAGAGAGAGAGATGGGGGGGAGAGAGGGAGAGAGCAAGAGGAGAGAAACAGAGAAAGAGAAAGCAGAGAGAGAAGGAGAAGAGGGAGAGTGAAAGAGAGAGAATAGAAAGGAGAGGGAGAAGATAGAAGAGAAGAAAGGGAAGAAAAAGAGAGAGGAGAGAGACTTAGAGATAGAGGGAAAGATAAGAGAGTAAGAGGCTGAGAAAGAGACACCTCATCACATCGAGACCATGGCCTGTCTGGTATCATCTTACCCTACTTCCCTCCTCCCCAAATTCCCCCTTAGGGGTTGCTGTGATCAGGCTGACAGGGTGTTTAAATGAGATTAAAAGTATTTTTCTTGACAGGTTAGAATGAGTGATTGGGAAGAGGGTGGGTGGAGGGGTAACTAAGGCTGAGGGGAAGGAACCTATGAAGAAGCAGCGAGGGATAGAAGAGTCAGAATCAGTTTATTTCCTTCTGTGTTGTCAGCTGGCTCACTACTTCTTCAAACCCTTTATGAATGCTTCTTTTCCCGCCCTGAGACACCCCCCTGCCCTCCCCTTGCCCCTGTCTTCCATCCCCTCTGCACTCTTCCATCCTCCAATTCCTGATAGCTTTGGCTCCCTCTTTTTGTCTATCAATGTCCTGTACATTCAGCATCTCACTCTCAGGGATCCCTAAGCATGGGGCTATGCCTTCTTCACACTCCACAGGATATCTTTCAAGAAGACTTGCTACGTTTCCCCCTTCCCCTCTGCTTAAAGTGTCCACACATGAGCTTCATAGATAGGATGTTCAGAGAAGTTGGAGGGTCTGTATGTGTGAAATGGTTGCTGTAAGGGAGCAGGTTGAGAGATGGGGAAGTATAATTAGAATGAAGAGGAAGCAGACATAGAACGCTACTGGCCCCTGGGCCTTTATTCTTCACCCCCCTCCCCAAACTCCCTAGGGGTGTTGCTTTTTTAATGAGGGAGGGTTGGTTGCTGCCCTTGGCATTATTAGCTGGAAAGAAGCTTGGGCCTGAGGTCTGGACCTGGAACTGAATCCTGGCATTGGAATGAACTGCTTGGGGATCCCCCACCCTCCAGTTCAGAGGACACCCTTTCTCCAGCATCTTCGATTTTTGGAGACAGCCAGGCCATTGCAGCTAAGAATAGCAACAGATTTGTCTAAACAAACACGGCCATCTCCAAGTGATATCATGGCTGGGGGGAGGCGCCTAGTCTGATGATGGGGGGCGGTGTTGGTCAGTTTGGCCAACAGTCCCCTCTACACCCCCCGCCCCGTTTTTCCCTAAGCTCTGTCTTCCTGATGAGATAGCAGGGTTGGGAAGGAGCCTGGCTGGATGGGGATCAGACAAGGGATAGATCTGGTCAGTGATAGGGGTGGGGTTATTTTTCCATCCCTGGGCCCAGCCAGATCATCCCGCCCGCCATCTCCAGCCTAGCCCATGCCAGGTCTCTGTACCTCGATGAAAAGAAAACAAGGAGATCTCATTTGGAGCTGGAGTAGGAAGCTGGAGCCTGGGGAGGATAGCAAGTGAGGGAGTGGGAATGGGGAAAGGTGAACCTTGGGGGGAAATGGGACTGTACATATCAAGACCAAGATGGGGTAAAACTGAGGCTGGGAAGAGCTAGAGATGGTTTGAGGAAATGAGTGAGGTTGTATTCATGGAGGGATCTAGGAGGCTTAGAAGTTTGGGAAGGGGGTTTTTGTTTGTGGAAAGCCCAAAGAAGAGTTTGGGGCCAGAGATGACTCTCTGGTGGCATGGAAGCGCTGGTGCAGAGGATGTAAGGGGACTGTGGGAGTGCTGAAGAGGGGAAAGACTGGCTTTGGGGGGGTGTAGTTATCTGCTCGGGGCTAGGGCCAAGGCTAGCACATGGATCTCTTCAGCTGCAGCTTGTAAAAGTTTCCCTCGTAGGACACGGCACGCTCCGGCCAGGCGGAGTGGGGGTGTGAGGAGGGGGGAGGCAGGAACTGTTTTGTTGAGGGGGGGAGGCACTAAGCTGGAAGAGAGAAAAAGCAGCTCCACACCCTAGAGGTCATCCTACCAAAGAGCTCTGTGTGTGTGTTGTGTATTTGTGCTTAAGTCTTAGTGTATCTATGAGCATCTATTGTGTCACTGGGGCTGTGTCTGTATGTGTGTATCTGTGTGTGAATGCCAGGTTGTGGCCATTTGCCAGGCTGGATAGAAGGGGCCAGGATAGTGATTCACGTGAGGTTCATGGATGCCATGGGTCATGGGGTTTGATGCAGAGAAAAGAGGCTAGAATCATATTCTAGGGAGGGAATGCAAGTATCATACAGTCAAAAAAGAACAGACAAGCATCTAGGGCATCAGCCAAACCGAGAAGGGACAGGCAGAAAATGAGTTTTCTATTGGTCAGCTGGGACCAATTCTTGAGCTTGAAATTGAGTAGGTCCTCACAAGTGACACAAACAGAGGCTGGTTGCCCTCTATCCTAGTCTAGTCTTCAATGTCCTATTTAGTGTGAGTGGGCAAGGTTTCTGCTGGTATATGAAAAGGCTCACCTCATAACCACCTCAGAACCGGTAATCAGCTAATTGTAGTAGGCTGGCCTGAAAATGTATATTGTATGTTTCCTTGTCTTTGACTGAAAGAGTTATTAGTGTTGATGGGGTAAGTGTTGAGGTGATGGGTCAGGGTGAGGGTCAGGGTTGGAGTCATTGGGAATCATGATTGGGGATGAATGGTTTGGAATCAGTGAGGGGAGTATTATTGTGAATAGTGGGCAGTTGATGAGGGGACTGGGCTGGGGGGGTCTTCTCATGAGTTCTCTGGGATTGATGCTCCCCCTTTCCTGGTCTCCCCTCCCTCCCCCCCACTATTCCCTGTCTCCTGCCAGATGGCCACTCCTGTTCTGTGGGCCTGCTTCGTGGTTCTTGCTGCAGGGGTCGTGGCGTATGCCCAGAGACACAGCCAGCAAGGTGAGTGACTCTCAGATCTCCAGAGCCCCATACCCAGTCACAAACTGATGTGCATCGCCATGGCATACCTGCACCTTCAGGCACACATACTGACAGAAACACACACTTTTAACATTTACATATAATCAAACATGAAGAACACATTATGTCTCTTTTTTCTAGTCCATCCCTGATTCTCGCTTTCTATAGATCTGTGTTGGGACAGCATGGCTTTGGTTTAGAGAGAATGAAGCATTGCCTTCTGAGCCTGAGCTGAGAGCCAGGACACTGTAGCTTGAGTGACTGAGGTCAGACAGTCAGAAGGACTTTGCCCCAGTTCTCCCAATCCTGTGCTCTTAGAAAGTGATTGGGAGACAGAATCATTTCAAGAAAACTGATTTATGGCCTAGCCAACATTTTGCACGATCCAGACTCCTAGTTTGACATCGTCCAGCCAGGAATCGACTAAATATGTGTGCAACTCCATACTAGGCACTCTGCGAGTACATCAAAGAATTAGAAAACATATTCTCTGCCCTTAGGGACCTTGATATGTGGAGGAGCCATGGCCCTCAGCCTCTTTCACAGAATCTGTATTCTTAATTTTGGAAAGAGCTGGTGTCTCGTTGCCATGGTGACACAGGCATCACCTGTCATCATAGCAAATAGATAAACAAACAAATGAATAAATGCCATTTGATTCTGGTGTCCTTGAGGCTGCCTTCTCTCTTTCCAGCTCCCCAAACTCTCTCTCCCCTCCTGGCTCTGGTCCACAGATGCCTCCCCTCCCCAATACCTCCTGTTCTCCTAACACCTGTTCCCAGTTCCTCTCTTTTGTGTCCTCCTTGATTCAATTCTAACTGCTAATTCACAACTTTCCCCCCTTCTCAGTCCCCCCCCCATCCCTTTCACTCCCCCAGCTGCTACTGAGGAAAGAAAGAGAAAAAGGAACTGCTACAGCAGGAAGGAGTGAAGCTAGATTATAAAAAGGCCTGTCTGATAGTGAGGATCAGGACAGGTGACATGTTTTCTCTCTACTGCTTCGTATCTTTCTACCCTCCTCCAACTAGTTTCCTCCTCCCCCACTGCCTGCCTTCCCTTATGCTTGATGCCTAGTTTTCTTTCTCACAGAGAAACTCATTACCTTTCCCTCTAAACCATTTCTCCCTCCTAATTTCCCTGTTACTCTAGAGGACACCACCATCCTCCCAGTCCCCCAGGCTCATCTTTGACCCCCCAACACACCATATCCAAGGCCTGTGGATTTCACCTTTGCAACATCTCTCTAATATGCCCCCCTTCTCTCCTCTGACACTGCCACCAACCTGGTGCAGGTCCTCCTCACCTCACGCTTGGACTACTTCAGTATCCTGCTGGTGGGTCTGCCTGCCTCAAATCTCTTCTCATTCATGAAAGTGATTTTCCTAAAGCGCAGGCCAGACCATGTTATCCCCCCTACTCAATACATTCCTGTGGCTCCTTGTCACTTCCAGGATCAAATGCAAAATTCTCTGTTTGGTGTTCAAAGCCCTTCATAACTTAGTTCTACCTTCCCACCTTTCCCATCTTTTTACACCTTAGACCACCCCACAGTTTTTTTGATCTAGTGACACCAGCTTCTTTGCTCTTCCTTACACAAGACATTCTATCTCCTAACTCCTGACAGAGAGGAGATTGTTTGAGAATTCATCTTAGAGGAGTGTAGGATCTCTGCTTCTCATCAGGTTATGGATAAGCTATGGGCAAGCTCAACCTCTAAGATTAGATATCCAACTGTTTCCTTAGGGGTCAAGGGAGCTCTGGGAAAGGTCCTAGACCAAGAGAAGGGGCCAGAAAGGGAAGGCCCTGGGCCAGGAATGTACTGGCCTCAGGGAAAATTAGAGGCCTCCTGGCCCATGGAGTCTCCCAGGGAAAATTGTCTCTTTAGCTAGACTCAACTAGACTCTTTTTTTTTTTCCTGTCTCTGTTCCTTTCATGGCCTTCAGCAACTAAGTCTGGACTTGATGCTCTGTTATATCATATACCATTTACTTGGGGGTCTGAGTTCTAAGCCCTTGAGGGGGAGGGAGGTTTTGGCAAAGAGACGGGTGTATCAAGGTCTGAGGGCTCAGGCAAGTGGAAGCCCTGTTTCATGTCATTTAGGAAGTTAGTTCAGCATCTCCCCCCTTTGTTTTACAGGTGAGGAAACTGAGGCCTAGAATATGAAAGTGACTTTCTAAGGGGTTTAGTACCAAACCTGGAACACTAAATCAAGTCTAAGCCTCCTGACTTCACTTTAATCCAGTCTTCTTTGCACAGTTCCAAATTGTCTCATTCACCTCTTTTTCCTGCCCCATATAATAATGATCTTTTGGAGATGAGAAGATGGAAGTCGGTCTCACTTTGGGCCCATGGAAGAGGTGTTTGGAGGATCTCTTGGTCCATGGGGAGGTTGCCACTGCAGTGGCTGCTGTGGAGGGAATATGAGTCTTAATTAGATTTTTCAGGCTGAGCAGCGTTGGCTTCATTTTCTGCTCAATAAACTTGTTCCTAGGATCACTCTGACTAGGGAAGTTTGGTGATTGAAGCTTGATCTGGCCATGGCTCCTTATATCCCACAAATTGCCCCTCTGGCAGAGAGCAGCCTCACAGGGCAACAGAAAGGAAAAGCTATCTCTTTGGAAAGAGAAGTGGAGATTTGGAGAGGGCTTCAAATAAACGCCTTGTCACGTGAAGTAGGCAAGGCAACAAACATATTTATTAAGTGTTTCCTATGTGCCAGTCACTTCGATAAGTGGTAGGGATGTAAGTACAAGCAAAAAGAAAGTTCCTCCCCTCACAGGAGCTTACATTCAAGTAGATAAAGACAACTCATCAAAGGAAACTGAAGGGGGTGGGGGTGGGTCATGGTGGCAAAGTCCAGAGAGTAATTAGAATGAAGCTTGGCCAGCCTGAGCCCCCATTCCCAGGGAAGTTCCAGGCTGAGATGGCAGCTGAGGCTGAGTAGCAGAGTCCAGAAAGTCAGAAACACAGCCAGGAGGGGAATGAAGGTTAGCCACCCTGGGCCCCTCACCAAGATGGAAGCCTGGGAGGAACTCACCTGTGGGAAAAGGGAGCCAGTTTGGCAGAAGGATTTGTAGGGCAGGGGTGGGGAACCTTGAGGTCACGTATGGTCTCAAGGCTGAAGGTTCCCCACTGCTGTTAGGGGAGGAGGCCCTAGGTGCTGAAGGAAGTTCCAAGGTAGATGGAAGGAGGACAGAATAGACTTGCTCTACTTCGTCCTGGAGAGCAGAACTGGGGTGTTCCCAGGATACAAATTTGAGCTCAAAGTAAGGAAAACCATTCCTAACGATTAGAACTGTCTCAAAGCAGGATAGCAGAAAAGCCAAGGTATCTGTCTCAGGAGGTAGGGACTTCTCTACCCCACAGTCATAGATTTAGAGCTGGAAGGGACTTCAGAGACCATCCAGGGCACCTCCCCCCTCCATTTTGCAGATGAGGAAATTGAGGCCCAGGAAAATTAAGCAGCTCGGCCAAGGTTACACTGGTGGTAAGTGGTAAAGGTGGTATTTGAACCCAGGCCCTCTGACTCTAAAGCCGTGGTTCAGAAGGCACCATCATCTTCTTAGACCTCCAGGGTCTCAATCTAGGTGTCATCCTTGACTCCTCACTATTTCTCACCCCCCCATATCCAATCTGTTGCCAAGGCCTGTAAATTCACCTTTGCAACATCTCTCTAATATAACCCTCTTCTCTCCTCTCACACTGCCACCACTCTGGTGCAGGCCCTCATCACCTAACACCTGGACTATTGCAATAGCTGCTGGTGGGTCTGCCTGAGTTAAGTCACTTCTCACTCCAGTCCATCCACCATTCAGCCACTATAGTGTTTTTCCTAAAGCACCGGTCCCTATGTCACCTCAAATTTCCCCTCCCCCCACTTCAATAAACTCCAGTGGTTTCTTATCACTTCCAGAATCAAATACAAAAGCCTCTGGTGTTCAAAGCCCTTCATAACCTAGTTCCTCCCCTCACCTCTACCTTTTCCAGTCTTCTTACCTTACTGCCTTCCTCACATTCTTTGATCTAGCAACACTGGCTTCCTTGCCATGCTACGGACAAGACACTCTATCTCTGTCTCTGGGCATTTTCTCTGGCTGTCCCCTGACCCTGGAATGCTTGCCCTCCTCATCTCTGCTTCCTGTCTTTGTGGCTTCCTTCAAGTCCCATTTCCTATAGGAAGTCTTTCCCACCTCCCTTAATTCTAGTGCCTTCCCTCTCTTATTTCCTATATATCCTGTATATTTATATATATATATATATACACATACATACACATATATATACCTATACATATATATATAAGTATGTATGTATGTAGCATGTTTGTATATATTTTCTTGTTGCCTCCATTATTCTGTGAGATCCTTGAGGGCAGGGACTGTCTTTTGCCCTTTTTTATCCCCAGTGCTTAGCACAGTGCCTGGCACATAGTAGGTACTTCATAAATGCTTATTGACTTATTCTTTCTGATGTATCAAAGGCTGATAAGCACTTGATGGGGATGAATTAGAGCAGCGGGTCTGAACCTGTTGTGTGTCACAGACCCCTCTAGTAGTCTGGTGAAGCCTAGACACTCCTTCTCAGAAGAAATTTCTTAAAATGTATAAAATAAAATACATAGGTTTTCAAAGAAAACCAGTTATATTGAAATACCTATCAAAATATTTAAAAAACAAAAACATGTTCACAAATCCCAGGTTAAGAATGGAGGAATTTATGGTTAAGATAAAGCAAAGGTGAGGCAGCTAGCTAGGTGACATAGTAGACAGAGCCCTGGATTTGAATCCTTCATCAGATGGTTACTAGCTGTGTGACGCTCACTGAACTTGCCCCGACTCGGTTTCCTCTTTGATTAAATGGAGATAATAGCTGTAGCACTTACCTCACAGGGCTGTTGTGAGACTCAGAAGAGATAATGCATGCCAAGTACTTTGCAAACCTTAAAGTGTTATATAAATGTTAGTTATTATGAAGTCTGATGTTAGTGGGGAAAACTGGTCTCCTAAGGTTCCTTCTAGGTCTATTTCTTTGAAGCTTTCCAAGATTATGTGACTATATAGTCCCAGCTTTGATTCTAGTATTTAGGGAGAGAAGGAACCTTGGAGATCATGTAGTCCAATTCCTCTCACTTTAGAGGTGACTTGCAAAATGTAAATAGCAGAGCCAGGGTTCAAATTCAGACTATTGCTCTTGAAATCCAGCTCTATTTTCACTGGATCTCTAGACTCTGCTGTCTCTCAGGAGGAGTCTCTATCTGAGAAGGAGAAGGAAGAGGGGACTTACCTGGGGAAGAAAGACTTGGGAATGGTTACCAACCCAGGTGCAGCTGAATGGAACTTTGGCCCCCTGTCCTAGAGGCAAGAGCCAGTGAGGGGATGTGGGCATGATGTCAGGCTGGGAAGACTTCCCTCAGGCAGGGGTAGGGGTGGGGTCCCTAGGTGGAGAAGCAGCCTGCATGAAGCAGGTGGAAGGAGACAAAAACCACTGTGCTCAGTTTCCTGGAGCTTTTCCTTCACTCAGCTTTTACCTCCTGCCCTCCCCAGGGACCTCAGTGTGCCCTCACTCTGCCCTCTTTGCTTCCCCTCCTGGCTGCCTGACGGTGCTCAGCACTGATGACGTGAGTCACTGTCCCCAAGGTAATGGCCTTTTTTCCCTCTGACTTCTGGCCTTGCTGCCCCAGTGGTATTCTCAGGGATGCTTTCTGTACCAAAGCAGGTGCAGGGAGGAGTAGAGGAGAGACGGCTCCAAAAACAGAGGGCCAGGGACAAAGGAGGGGCAGAGGAATGTTTGGAGAGAGTTGGTTGTGGGTGATGGGCAAGAGCAGAAAGAGGAGACAGACAAGCATAATGGCGTACCAGAAAAAGCATGCAGTTTGGAGTCATTTGCCAAAGATGCAAAGATAACCTTAGCTTTTCGTCTGTGAAATGAAGAGTTTAGAGTAAATGAACTCTAAGGCTACCTCGAGTTATACATTTTATGGTGTGAGGTTCAATTCTGACTTTGCACTTGGCTATGTGTGACCTTGAGTAAGTCACTTAACTTTTCTAAGTCTTGGTGTCCTCATATGTAAAACGAAGGGGTTGGATTAAATGATCTGAGAAATTCCAATTCTTAATCCTATGACCCTATGGACTGATAGAAACTTGTAGAAGGAAGATGGAAGGAAAGAGAGAGAGAGACAGAGGGCAGGGACGCAGGAGAGAGCTTTCAGTAAGGGGAGAGAGCTGCAGAGGAGAGAAAAAGAAAAAAAAAGATTCAGAGATTAAGAGGGAGCTGGAGAGGTGTATCTGCTCACCCCCTGCTAGTGGGGCACAGGTCTGGTTTTTCTTCTCCACTTCCTCCTTCTGGGCTCCAGCTGATTTACCAAAAATATCCTGTGATTCTGAGCTGAATGGGAGCAAAGTAAATGTATTTGTGGCTGTGTTGGTCTGAGTGTAGATAGGACTGTGGGTGTAAGTGTATGTGTTTCTGAGGCTAGATGATGGGGGAGATTTCAGAGGAGGGGATTGACAGGTAATTGTGTGTGCTACAGGGGAGTGTGTGAGCCTGAGTCTGTTGGTTTTTGTGTTTGCATTTCTTTATATCTGAGGGCAAGAATCTTTTGTCCTTATGACTAGGGACTTCTTCAAGGCTATCACTCCATTCTGATCAGGGAGGGTTTACTTCCTGGGTTGTGGCCAGCTTTCCCTCTCAGTCCAGTGTTTTCTCAGAGATTGTGTCTGGGAACCTCCTAGACTAGGGGCTCTTCGAGTCGTTGCCCCAGCCCCTTTTTCCCATAGCATGGAGCCCTGAGGAGGGGGTAGCAGGTGGTGCTGAGAGTCAGGTAAGATGGATGGACTGTTGCTGAGATGTGATGACGGCCAGTGGCTGGGAAGGCCCACAGAGGCCTCAGTTCATTTCCTCAGGCAGCCCAGGGGATGGATCAGAAATCCAGCTTGAACCCTGGGCCCCCTAACTCTCTGCTCCTCTACCATACTTTAGCGTCCTTGGCCTGCCTGCCTAGCCTCTTCCCCCATACCTGGGGCCTCAGTCACCCAGGCTCTTCCTCTGCTACCTCTTCCACAAGCTCCCTGATCCCATCACAGTTTTCCTCACCTTCTTTCTCACCCAACCCCAGGGTCTTGAGCTGAGGGAGTAAACAGCTATAGACAGAAGAGTTAGAACCAGTGAGGGCCAATCTCTCCATCTCTCCTCCAGGCACAAGGGCAGCTGTGGATATAGAACCTTAGGGTTACAAGGCATCTGCCTTAGAGTTCTACCCTCATTAACAGATGAGAAAACTGAGGTCTGAAGGGGTGAAGAGACTTGTCTAAGGCAGCAATGAATCAGTGGTACAACCAGAACTAGTATCATGTCTCCAGATTTCTAGTCTAGTGCTCTTTCAGGGAAAAGTTTGGAATAGGGTTAAAGGCAAATGGAGTTTTCTAGAATTCCATCTCCCTGCAACCAGCCCCATAAGCTACATAATCGAGAGAGTCTGTCTCCGGGGCTGAACTTCTCCTAGGACCTGGATTACTCTAAGGTTATCTCTTCCCCCCCGTCCCTACCAATGTGGGTACAGCTAGTCCCCACCTGAATATTCTAAAGGATGCTTACTTCCCTACATGGATTGAGGGGTGAAAAAGTGAATGGGGACAGAGCTGGAAATGGGACAGGGTAGGAGGGTGATTCTGATCAGAGCTGTGTGTTCTTTGGAGGACCCAGTTGGATGAATTGGCGTTTGTAGGGTTATCCTAAGAGGTGGTGTTGAGTATCTACAGGGTAGATGTCCTGAAATTCTGGTCTCAGGAGCTATAGAAGCCGTAGTTCCTGACTCTGAGCCTCAAGGGCTGACTCCACAGAAGGGACCAAAAGATGTTCTTCTTTGAAGAGCAATGGGACCAAGTCACTGAGGAGTTCTCTTCTTCCCCTGAAGTCCCTCTTCAAATTAGGACTACTCAGAGATGGGCCATATCCCCTTCCCTACCCACCTCAGTAGACGGGGCTCCTTGTAGATAGGAGTGTGGGTTTTTTTTTTCCCTTTCAAAAGAAACAGAAGACAAAGGGAGGGACTTCTCCTGAGACAGAAAGGTCAAAAGAGTGGTTCCTACCTCTGGTGCTAGGAGAATAGCCCTCCCTTTCTTCCTTCTCCTCCCCTCCTCTCCTGCAACCCCCTCCCCAGTCCCAACACATACACAGAGCTACACTGACTAGGAACAGAGAGTGTTCGTTCCAGCTCAGTTGTTCTGGATATGTTCTCCCCTACCTGATAGGCTGGAATATGAGTCTCTGTATTCCATATTCACAGTTTGCATTCCAGGGTCATCTTGGCTCTTTGAGTCTATGTGCAATATAGTGATGTGTGAGCTGGTCTTCATGGTGAGACTCACTGGAGTTCTCCCTATATGGAGACTGATGTAACTATACAAATAGGGTGACTATTAGCATGGCTGAGACCACATGTGTGTGTGTGTGTGTGACTGCATGTAGAATTGTGTGTGCCACTGATGTTTTGGGTGAAATTGTGTATGGTGTCCTCCTCCCAGCCATTTTCTCTCCTTGTTCTCTTTGTTTTTATGACCTCGCCTTCTCTGTCCCTCTCTCCCCCTCCCTATCTATCAATCTTTTCACAACTGATTGTTTTAAAGGCTTTGTCACAGTGTCAAGGCCAAGAACTCTGTCCCTTTTCTAATCCTCTGTGCCCCAGCCTCATTGTCTCCCCTACCAATGTCAATTTCACTGACTCCCTGCTCTGAACCTACACTCACCCTCCCCCACTGTCTCCCCTGCCTCACTAACTGCCCCCCTCCTCCAAGATCAACTTCACTGATTCCCTATTGTCACCATCCTTCTTATTTCCTTGCTCTGTCCTCAGCCTCAATGTCCCCCGATGTCAATCTCACCAACTCTCTCCCATACCCCTAACCTCTACTCCAAAACTCATTCCCTTATCTTTAACTTTGTAGCCCCCTCCCCCCACCCCCATTGTGTGCCTTTCCCCTGTGTTGATTTGATTTCAAAAATGGACAAGAATTTGCAAGGGCAATAGGAGGTATGGGAACAGGACAAGGGTGGGTAGAAATACTGAGGAAATGGATAAAGAAGATGTCTCTCCTCTCAAATATAAGTTTGATATAACTTTTTCTTTACTTTTGTTGTGTCATTTTCATTCTAATGGTTATTATGTAACCTTATTGCCATCGCGGTATCGATATTCCTTGTTATGGTTACTCTTTTGTCTTTGTGTTACTGTGTCACCATTGTCACACTGCCTCTGTGTTGTTCTGTTGGGTCATCGTTGGACTGTGCTGTTTTCATGTTATGGCATTGTTTCACTGTGATTTTCTTTTAATGACTTACCGACTCAGTGGTCTCACTAGACGGTCAGTTCTTACGTCTCCTCATGCAGCTGGATGGACCGGAGATGCTGCCTGGGCCTCAAGAGGTCTCTGGGGGGGCAGGGAAGGGGGGGTCCTTTGGAACGTTTCCTTAAAGTTCCAGATTCTGGAAACAGGATTCCAGAGAGCTGGAGTTGGGTCTCCTGCCCAGCCCTGATGGAGGGTGAGAATCCAAGGTGGGGCCAGCATTTAGAGCTGGGGAGGGAAAAGCAGAGATCTTAGCCTCTGGTCATTAGCTCTCTTAGGAGGAGAGGAGAGTTGGTGGAGGCCAAGGAGAGTTTCACATCTGTGTTTCAGGCTGGCTTCCTGGGGCCTATTCCACTCCATCCATCCTGTTTCTGCCATTCATCTGGCTGTCTACCTCCCAGGGAAAGGGGTCAAAGGGGGATGGGAGAAGTAGAATGGTTAGACCTTGGGTATAAAGTCTGACAGGCAAGTCGGGGAAACTGCCCTTTCCCACTGGCCACATCTCCTCCCCCCTCCCCAGACTCTTTCTTTCCCTAGCTGCATAGACAGGAACTTAATCTCACAAAATCAGAGAATGTAGTGCTAGAAGGGATTTTAAAGGTACTCTAACTTGATGCCTGATTTTTACAGATGAGGACACTGAGGCTCAGACATATAAAATTTTTTCCCCAAGGTCACACAAGGATGTATATCAGGCTGGGATTTGGACATGAGGTTCCCATTCCCAATTCCATTCCTCTTTCCTACCCTACCTTCCTAGCAGTCAAATCAAAGTGCCTAATTTATCCAAGGACATGGGAAGAGGGGAAGAGAAGGGAACAAACATTTATTGAAGGCCTACTGTGTGCTGAGTACTGTGCTAGGCACTTCATACATTTTATCTCATTAATTTAATCCTCACTACAACTATGGGAGGTAGGTGCTATTACTTCATTTTATAGTTGGGGAAACCGAGGCAGAGGTTAAATGACTTGCCCAGGGCCACACAGATAGTAAATATCTAAGTCCAGATTTGAATTCAGGTTTTTCTGACCAGGCCCAGTGTTTGCTACATCCGCTTTGCTACTAGCTGTATAGGTCAGACATCAAAAGTCAGACCAATCAGTGACAGGAGCAGGGGTGACCCACACGCTCTAGATATCCCCATCTCCCTACACTGAGGTTCCGAGGATGTTACAGGGGAATTTGTTGGAATTTAGTAAGCCAAAATTTCCCCAGAGTTTGAATCAAAGTGTTTCTTCTAAGACCAACGTATGGGAATCATATCCCTACCGTGCCCTGAGCTCTAAATGAGAGGAACTGAGGGGGAAGTGGATAATAATTGGGGAGAATATCCGTTAATATGACCTAAGTCCAGATAAAAGGTCCCGAGACCTGACTGAGGGGGTGGGACTCCCAAACCTCCAATCCTCTGAAGGATTGGAGGCCCTTCGTTAACAAGTGTAATTAAGACTCTTTGAGGATAGCCTGGTCCTGGCCTTAATTGGCTTGTTAACAGGAATCCCCCCCCAGACTCAGCAGGTCTGCTCTCCTGATGGAGAAATAATTAGCAGGAATGTTAATAAGAAATCTTCAGAGGCTCTGGCTTTAGGTATAGCCACCTAATCACCCAACAGATATTGATTGGAGTCTTTTTGCAATTTATCCACCTGTCTCACTGAGGGAGGTGTCCATCTGTCTGTATGGGTAGGATGGCATGGGGGTGAGCCATCCATTCACTCATCTATTTATCTGTCCTGCTTATTGAGCAGGATCTCTAGGGTCATCCAGGAGCGGGTGAAACTTTTGGCAGGGTGAGATTTTTGTTCCCTTCCTGATCAGATCACTTTCTTGCCTTCTTTTCTGTCACCTGTATTCGTTCTACTGTGCTGGAGGCATATATAACCCAAGGTGTAGGAAGGAGCAGTTGAGAATTCAGGCCTATACACTGGAGAGACTATTTCAAATAAATATAATTACAACCACCCCCTTCTGGCCTGCTCTCCCCTTTGAAGCCAGAAAAGCTTTCTTAGTCTAACTTCTATCTTTGCTGCTGTGACCTGAGATTATTTCTTTGGAAAAAGGCTGCATATAGGCATCCTCGTGCAGGTGGTGGGAGATAACTACTCTTGGTGAGAGTTAGTACCACAGAGCACACAAGTATGTGAGGAAGTGTGACATATGAATGTGAGGAGATGAGACACATTAAGAACTTCTTTGAATGCTGGAAAGCATATTGAGCAGAGTTGCATGTACCAGGGTTCTTTGATACTGGCTAGCAGGGAACTAGAGGGAGGGATGTTGGCCTGATCAGCTAGAGCCTCCCTACCCAATCCCCCACCCCACCCCCATTCCCAGAAAGAGGAGATGCTAGCCTTAGGGCATGGTGATAGAGGCAGGAGGAGAGCCAAATAAACAGGCTGAAGTGTCTGTCCATTTATCATTACTCCCCCCTCCCTGTCCTGACCATTTCCCGTGCTAGAGCACTGGACTTTGGTTTCTATGAGGAGAGACTAAAGAACAAGAAGGCAGCACCCTTACTTTCTTCTAGCCCACATTACCTCAACAATCTGACTTCTCCCCCTCCTCCTCTGTATAAAGCCTTGTTGCAGCCGAACTAGGCTCCTCACTATTCTGTGAATGTCTTGGCTTTGCTCCTGTCTCCGGTTAGGCATGTGCATTCTCCATTCCCACCCTCCTCTGTGGCAGTCTGCCTCCCAGACATCTCTGAACCTCACCTGTTCAAATGCCTCCTCTTCCAGAGGTGCTATCTCAACCACTCTGGCCTCTGCTGATCTCTCCCATTTTTGATTTCTCTCCACTTGGAATCCTATCCACATACTTATCTTTGAGCACATACTCTTTATTCTTGTAGATCTCCATGCACATGTGTCTGATCTCCTAACCAGGTTCTGAGCTCTCCAAGGGCATGACCCCATGTCATCTTCTTCTCTGGTACCTGTCCCCACAGTGCAGCCAGCACAGTGTTAGGCACACAAGGTGTCTTGGTAGACATTTAGTGACTTTCATTCCATTCTCCTAATGCAGGGAGAGCCATTTGGAAGCTTGTGGTATGGTGACAGAGAGCACCTTTGGGCTGAGTGCTGTTCACTTTGAGTTGTTCACTTTACCAAATATCTAATGCTGAAGTATTAGATCAGGGGAACCGTGAAACAGTAGATAGAAGTTAGGCCTTGGAATGAGGAAGATGTAGGCTCAAGGACTGTCTCTAACACATACTAGCGCTGTGACCACGTATGAGTCACCTAATCTCTCACTGACCCCAGGTACATCTCTAAAACAAGGCCTCTCAACCTGGGATTAAGAGTTCTTAAAAAAGGTTTTTGGATAACTGTTTTTAAATATATTTCATTTCTTTTATAATACTGTGTATTTTATTTTACTTACTTAAAGCCATTATTCTGAGAAGGGGTTGATAGACTTCACCAGACTGCCAGAGGGGTCCAGGACACAAAAATGGTTAAGCATCCCTCTTCTAAGACTATAAATTATAGCCAAGTTGCAGATTTGCAACAGTGCAAGGAGTTTCCACACCAGGAATTCCTCCCACCAGTGAAATCACAGGTCGAGTTCATCTCTTCCTCCTAACACCAATCCCTTTCAATGTACCACATATTGCATTGGTCCGTGATGATACAAAGATGAAAAACAACATAGTCTCTGTCCGCAAAGGACTTGCATTCTAGTAAAGGATTGAAATGGATGCATAAATTATGATAGTGCAAGTTAGAATAAGACCAGGGGGCACAGGAGAGATCTCACACTGTAAGATTTAGAGAAGGAGAGAGAGCTTCTTTCCAGGGAAAAGGAGGTGGGGACATGATTCAGAATGATCAGTGAAATCTTCATGGAGCAAGTGGCTCCTAAACCGGACCTTGAAAAGGAGAGATCTTCACAGATAAGGTAGGAACCTATTCCAGACATAGAGACTTCCTGCCCCCAAATTGGGAGACTTAGGTCCCTGTCCCTGCTTTTAGCTGGGCTTGTTTCTCAACCATTCCAGATGTAGGAGAGTCTTTCCTAGGTCTGATGTCACAGAGGGAAAGAAATAAGGACAAGTGAATGATTCTGAAAGGAATGGTGTGGTCTGAGAGACAATGCCATGGCCTGGAACCTGGGGAGAACCTTGAGAGGAGGTTGGCACTCCATGACCTGGGACAGATGGCATGAGACCGCCCCATCCCTATTCTCAATGGTCTGACTCCCTTTTACCCTCTCTCCATATAATGGTATCATTCTCATTCTGTAACCTTTTCTTTTTTCTCGCTGTCTTCCTCCTACCTCTACCTCTGTTCTTCTTTGTCTCTCCATACCCTTCTCCAGCACCCCCCCCCAAAATTCCCCCTGTCTTTCGATCTCTGTTTCTCTGGCTCCTCTCTCTCTCTCTTTCTGACAGGTGCTCCCTTGTCCTTCAGCTCAGTCACGCCTTGGTTGCTCAGGGCTGGGGGGAGGAGGAGGGTGTTGGTTTTGGCTCTGACAGACCCCCTCTCCTGGGGCAGGTGAGCTGACAGGCCTGAGTGCCTTCTCTCCCCCTCAACCCTGCCTGGCCAGGGTTCGATTCTCAACTCCAGTTGACAGCTGCAATGATCCGTCTCCAGGCCCCAGTTGTTTTGCCCATATTGTTCCGCCTGCTGCTGCCGCTGTCTGGGCCCCACTCCATGTTCGCGGTTAGGGGAGGGGAGTAGAATATGGAAGAATAGTTTGCAGGCTGACAGGAAAGGGAATGGAGAGTGGGTACAACAATGAGTATACTGAGGACACGGGGATATTAGGGACCTGGAGGTACTGGCCACATGGGCATGATGATTACAGGGAATCATTTTCTGGAGATTGTGTTACAACCGAAACTTGTCTCCTAGGTCTGAGGCCCCAGAGAGGAGAATAACTGGGCTTCAGGTTTGTTTGTGTGTGTGTGACAGAGGCAGTCTGAGTCCAAGGATGGGTATAGGTAATTCTTTCTTGCTTATCAGCCTGTGAATTATCTGGAACTTTAGAACTGTTCTGTCCCCACAGACATCCTCCCAAAATAAACACTATAAAGCAGGATGTTGCAAAATAAGAAGAATTTATCACATCGATTTTGGAGTTGGGATCA